CAATACAGTACCCGTTTATCTAAATTAAACAAGGCATAATACCACAATATTTCCGCTAACCAGAAAGTACATCAATATGTTCCTGGTATATTACTTAAACATTGAATAAAGAATATTTACCGGTTCAGAGGTGTCACTGCATCAAAAATCAGACATATCAATGAGAACATTAATCATTCAAAAGTTTTGATTAATTCAAAATGGATGTTACTGCCTAGCAACCTTACAGAGGGCGCTATGATCAAAAACATATATCTTATGCAACACCTTTAAGATTCGTTGCCTACTAGTAACACCAACTTAGTCACTTTTTTCTTCTTCCTGAGTACAAGGTTACTTTCCTGATAAGTTCATCTTGACCAGGCATGACTTTGGTTACACGTCCTAGCTCCCAAGTGTTTCGGGCTGCGCCTTTGTCCATCACCATAAAACATCTCCTATTCGCATATTTCGTCTCGTCACATTCCATTTTTGCCTACTCTGTAGAAGGTGGACGTACTCCTTGCGCCATCTTGACCAGAAACATTCGGCCAGGTGCTGGACTCGTTTCCACATTTTCCTGCTATAGCGACCATTTGTATTAAAGTTGCCCGGTGGAGGCGTACAAAAGGCTTCAGCATGAGTAAATGTGCTGGGGTCAATGGCTCTAAACTAGCATCCTCAGTGGTATTTAAGGGTCGACTATTTACGATGCCCTCAGCCTCGGCCATGAAAGTTATCAACATCTCATCATTAAGTTGTGCCCTATGTTGTAATATAAGTGCATCCAAAATACTCCTTACTGTTTTTATCATGCGCTCCCAAACGCCACCGTGGAGGCTTGCTGTCGGCACGTTGAAAATGCAATTGCAATTTAAGTGAAGCAGTTGAGACTTTAAGTCTTCTTGATTCATTTCAGTCATTGCTTCACGTAGTTCTCTTGAAGCACCGATAAAGTTTGTACCCTGATCCGATCTTAATTGTTTAACTGCACCTCGTCTAGCTACAAGTCTTCGAAAGGTGTTGAATAACGAGTCAGTGGACAGCGAACTGGCAACTTCTATGTGGACACTGCGTGAAACAAGGCAAGTAAATATTACACCGTAGCGTTTCTCCAACTTCCTGCCATTCTTCACTTCGAAAGGTCCAAACAGGTCTACACCACAATATGTAAAGGCTGGTGCAGGTTCTAGTCGATCGGGCGGTAGGTCTGCCATTCTCTGTGTCTCTGGCTTCCTTCTTAATCTACGGCACAGTACACAGTTATGGATAAATCTGGCTACGGATGACACTCCAACAATTATGTGAAAACCACCAGCTCTAATGGCATTTAATGTGATACCTCTACCTTGATGGTGCGTCACTTGGTGATAATGAGTTACTATTAAACGTGTTAGTTCAGATTTTGTAGGGATCACTACTGGGCATTTAATGCTTTCAGGAAGACTGATTGACCTCTTTAGTCTTCCCCCTACCCTAATAAGGCCATCTTGGTCCACCACAGGATCTAGCCGGGTCAACTTATCAAGTTCCTTATAGTGGTTATGCTGAGTAGCTTTTACCATCAGTTTCTTGGCTCTGTCAATGTCCTGAGTTGTGAGATCTCCACTTCTTTTCCAACCTCTGCATTTGTATGTGAAAACAATACATAGAGTAAGAACTCTGCTTGCTCGGCACCAGCTGGAGTATCGCTTTAACATCTCTGGAATCGTTTGTACACTAACATGGGTGGCCTGAACTCTTACCCTCTTTACTTCAACATCTGTATCATGTATTTGTTCTGGTAGATAATCTTCGATTTTGTAAATCAGCTCACTGAGGAACTTAGGCCCTTGCCACCAAAAATCACAATCCAACAATTCCTCTACAGAGCTGCCACGTGAGGCGATGTCTGCTGGTTTTTGTTCAGAGGCAATGTAGTGCCACTGGGTTGGCTCGCTGATATTACGGATAGTTTGTACTCTGTTGGCCACAAAAACATGAAAGCGTCTGGACTCATTGCTTATATAGCAAAGTACTATCTGACCAAAAGTGCTTAACTAGATTGGGATATTTCAGCTCTTCTCTTAGGATCCTTGCTATCCTTGCAGATACCATGGCTGCCGTTAATTCTAGCCTCGGTATCGTCATTGTTTTTAAGGGTATTTCTCAGCATTTGCTCATGACAAGTGATACTCTTACAGTTCCATCTTCGTGCACTAGTCTTAGGTACGAACACTGACCATATCCTGAAGTAGATGCATCACTAAAGTGGTGAAGTTCAACAGAAGACACCTTTCCAGTTGCATAAGGAGCCTTATAGCATCTGCTAATATTAATGTTGCTGAGGTACTGAAGTTGCTCTTTCCAAGCTATCCAATGTTGGATTGTATCGTCATTTAATGGTTCGTCCCAGTCCTTTCCTTCCGCACAGACATTCTGGAGGATTCGCTTTCCCTGTAAAATGTAGGGACCAATTAATCCAAGTGGATCAAACACAGCAGACAAAGTCGATAGAATGCCTCTTCTTGTCGGAGGATTCTCTTTCATGTTGCCTTCAAATGTAAATACGTCGAGAGTAGGGTCCCACAGTATTCCCAAAGTACGTTCTGTGGGTAGATTATTCATGTCCTTCTGGCCGACATTAGATGCGATGCAATCATCTGGTAGAACTTTCAAAACCTGTTTTGAATTTGAGAGGAATTTATGCAATTTGAATCCTTCCTCCTTCAACATGGCTACCGTCCTCTGGATTAGGTCTATTGCCACATCCGCTGTCTCAACTGACTGCAAGCTGTCATCCACATAAAAGTTGTTTTGGACAAACTTTGATGCATCTTGGCCATACTCGTCTGATAACCGTTTGGCTACATCCTTCAAACTGTAGTTGGCGCATCCCGGAGATGATTTAGCGCCAAATACATGCACTAACATTCGAAACTCCTTTGATGCTTTATTAACATCACTACTTTCCCACCATAGGAATCGTAGGAAATCCCTATGTTGTGGGGCTACCTGGACCTGATAGAACATGCTTTTAATGTCACCTATGAAGGCAGTGTGTTCAGCTTCATTATGTCGCTGGGAACATCGCAAACAGTGCTCTTAAATGAGGATATAAACGCATGAAAGAAAAGTGGATCTTCCTCATACACCTTCACTTGAGCTTTCGGCAAAGATAATTTTGCACCCCAATCATACTCTGAGATGTGTCACTGGAATTAGCACTATGTGAGTCAGCATCACTGTCACTTACAGAATTTTCGGTTGGAGGGACGACAATCTCTGGCTCAACTGGAATTAGTGCAGGAGCTATTTCACCATCCTCTTCTTGTGCAGGTAAGTCTACTGGTTCTGGAGCAGCAACTGACACGTCTGGTCCATTTGTAATTGGGTGTTGCAGCTTATCTAATCTAGCCATTTCTCCCAGAAACCCATCCTGGCATTTAGTCATCCACTCTAATTCCCTCTCATAATCTTCATCCTCTTCAATCAATTCAACAAGATTATCTTGACATTCTTCTACAAACTCAAATCGTGTCTTAACCTTGTTCTTTGCCCTTTCAATTTCTTCCTGGCTTGCTCCTATTTCTACAAGGGATTCCAGCTCCTTTAACCCTCTTGTTAAATTTCCCTTTCTGTTTCAACGGGTTATCTTTAATTTATCCATGTCTGTCCAAATTCTATTGTAGCGTCCTTCTTTATTGTGACGTCTAACGGAATTTTACTGTAGCTGCCTCAACGTATCAGCTTTAATATGCTGACCAAAAAGGACACTGAAACGATTTTACTGGCTTCGGCTGCATCAATTGTTCAACATAGCAATTGTCATGGTGATTATCAATACAATTATGAGTACAAGAAATATAGTAAAATCATATTATTTCCTGAATATGTTTGCATGGAATGATATAACAATTAACTAGGCCTAGGCTACGCCTACACATACAGTAATGCGTACACCCGACTCCGTGAAAACTCCATACAGAGCAAAAGCAATACAGTACCCGTTTATCTAAATTAAACAAGGCATAATACCACAATATTTCCGCTAACCAGAAAGTACATAAATATGTTGCTGGTATATTACTTAAACATTGAATAAAGAATGTTTACCGGTTCAGGTGTCATTGCATCAAAAATCAGACATATCAATGAGAACATCAATCATTCAAAAGTTTTTATTAATTCAAAATGGATGTTACTGCCTAGCAACCTTACAGAGGGCGCTATGACCAAAAACATATGTATCGGTATCCGATACAAATAGCTTAGGCCTATATTATCTCGATTTGATTCACCACTTAACTAATAATCTTCCGAAACCTAGACTCAGAAATAACGGGATGGTGTCTCATTGGGCTGATGCAGGGAGAAGGGTGCACACAATGCGATCGCAGCACCCCAGATTGTATTAGGAAAAAATATTTTTTGTATTTTATTTAATTGTTGATATGAATTACCGGTAAGATTTTTAATGTGTGAGAGTACATTTTCCGGGCACCTATCTATGGTTTCTTATTCTCAAAATGTTCTCATTTTAGCCCCAACCATGGTATGAGGCGGAGGAGGTGCGGATTCTGACGCAACCCATACTGCCAAATCCTGCATCCTCAGGGTGTCCGGCAGGGGATAGTTTTATATTTAGTATGATTAGAAGATTAGATTAGTTCTAGCAGACATTTAATTGTTACCACTTCGTAAAGGTAAAAGAGCTAAATAGTCACTATGAAATTAGAGCTAAACTATTTTAGCTCATTTTGAGCTGTAAGTTACTTCTAAGAGCTAAAGTTTTGCACTTTTTCATTTTTCTACTTCGCTCGTGTAATAAGAGCGACTAAAAACAGCTCGATTATTTCGAGCTATATAATTGCACTGATCGCTTTGATTGGTTATAAAGTTTATGTTCGTGTGAGCGCCTGAAAATTATTTCATGCATTCGTCAAAATGGAAACTGGGGCCAATGTGACAGAAAGGGCTTTTTTCGTCGGTTTGTATGAAGGAGGAGTAGAACCTATAAAAAAAAAAAAAAAAAAAAAAAAAAAAAAAAAAAAAAAAAAGAAACACGAAACTATATACTTTTTTATTGGCTTTGAAGTACCAGGCTAGGCTTTTACCTGCGAATATAACTTTCAAGCATCAGTGATTATTAACGATATATAAGCTATTATATTTTTAAATAATACAAATAAATAAAACAATAGGCCCTATGTTGCTTTTTTTGTGTTTTTAAATTTATTTACTTCTTAAAAATTATGAATGTCTAAATAAAGAACAAATCCGCTTAAAAAGAAGTAATTTTTTACTCTTTTTTTAAGAAGCCCCCTCGAGACACAGCTCTTTTTGAGCTAAAATCGCTCTTTCAAAAGAGCTACCCGGTATTTATTTCGCTCTTTCACATTTAGGGAGTAGAATTTCATTTCATTTATTCAACCGAAAACAATTACATTATAAATGGAAAAAACAGTAAAAAAAGAACAAAAAATTTACAATAAATGTCTCTGATTCCCTACCAGGGCCGGCGAGATAACCAAAAAGTAAAATAAATTACTGTCAAAGTGGGTCTCCATCCGATGTAGGAAATCAGAGAACAGCAAAACACACATAGAATGTAATATAAATATAAATATAAATTACAATATAGAAAATAATAAGCATTTCAATTACAATCATTCAATCATTAGCAATCTTTATTCAGGCCCCGAAACCGCGACTTTAAATTGCCATTGTAATTTCTTACCTCTCAATAATATTATTTGTATTTATTGTTTTAGACATTCTTTATTAAAACTACATATATTATAGCCGGCAACCCGTGTATATAAACATAATACATTGCTTTTAATAATTATTGCATAAATCTTCTGGGCCTACTTGTGTATTTATTTAACGAAGAAGCATCTCGTTATTATTGTTATTATCTAATTACACGCCATAATAATATGTCACACTCACAATGATCAGTTTACATTCCATTTATCCGTGATGGAAGTCTCTGGAGAGCCGTTAAAACTGCAATAAAAAAAACCTTCAATAATCTATTTTTCTGCGTGATTTGTCAAACCATCAGAGCTTTATTATGTGGGTAAAAATATCTTCTCTGTAAATGTAATGTTTTTTTGCGATATTACTGGCAAGAATACGATGCCCTGTAAGGACATAATGTATAAAAAGAAGGTTTTCTATCCGGACCCTCTCCCACCACGGGCCAATGTGAGGTGAGGGGTGGGATTAGGGATCGTCGCATCTGGCCGGTCCAATGAAAATTGCTTCCGACGCCCCTGATTGGTGGATCAGTTTGAGAGTGATAGAGGTCACATGCGATCGAGGAGCAAAGAGTATATAACAGAAGAGAGTCCACTGCTATTTGTAATGCACGCGAGTCAGGGTGACGCCCGATTCGCTGTATGGGGAAAACGCCGCTAGCGTCTGTTGTGGATGCATGAGTCTCGCCATGTGATGGCAGCATATAAAAACAGTAAGTTAAGACCTGTATTTGGAAAAGAATTCATAAAGTCAAATTATTATATCCGTTTTTAAACTATATATAAAGCTAAGACTTAATAAGAATAACATTGTTGGAAAATATGCTATGTATTATGGGTTTTTAGAAAGTTTACTTTAAATCAAGATAGTATTTTTAATGTTGATAAAAAAAAGCCCTGGAGTTTATAAAAAAAATAATATTTAATAGGCCTCCCTATACTAGAAGACGACTATTCATTATAAACAATCCATTCATGCATTGGTATTCGATATATGTAATTCTTATTAAATGAGAACATATAGTTAATAATGTGTTTGCTTTGACTATGACTGTGTTCTCCAGCCCTTCCTCAGTCTGATATGTAAATATAACATTTTCTCTTCAGTCAAACAAATTAATGTATAAAACAGTAGTTAAAAAATAGTCGGAAACACCAAAGTAACTTTCAAAATATTGTATTTTATTTAGTATTTTTCCACTCAAACTCCAAATACTTTCACAAGCAAATGAGAGTTAGGTAATGATGAGGAAAACTTCCACTTTGATGTACCATAAAATACCGGATTTACTTGATAAATGAGAAACAAAAAAATCATCCATCCAACGGTTAGTGACCCATGCACTGTCTGTGATGAAGTATTAGCACCCACATAATAATCAGGGGCGGATCCAGGATTTGAAAGGGGGGTGTTCAAAATGAAAAATTTTCATTTATAGGCCGGAAATGAGCTTTCCCGACTTCTGAATAGTTTTTTAATGACCTTTAAGTTCTTCAAAATACAAGATTTTTTTCTCCTCTTGAAAAGATCAGCAATTTTATCTCATTCTTCAGGCCTCGATATAAAAGAAAAAAAATAAAAGACAAGTGAGTGGATTTCCCGCACGATTAAAAATCGTAACGGTACTGAGTTTAGTCTACAGGAGTTCGTGCTTACAACAGGTCATTCCATTTATAGAAAAAGCCTTTTGATGGATAAAGTTGCCCAGTTCGAAACTAACTACGGCTATATAAAATTGATTAGAGATTGAAAAAGTTATTCTTGTTTAATAGATGGATTACTACTATGTCCATTTTTATTGATCTAATCTACGTACATTTACTTTCAGAGTTCATTGTATTGTTTGCCGGCGCTGTGTTAGATCAGCAGCTACAAAGTCTCCACTGTCTGTTCACTTATGTCTTCCTACGAGTGTTGGCTTGCTTTCCTATTCCTGACATTAAGTATTGCTTTCTTTTTTAATGCTGCAGTGCTTGTTTTTTTTTTCTATTTTTGCACTTTTTATTCACTTTTTTTTTTTTTGGTCTATTAACCTTGTGGTTGATCTAGGCCCAGTGGCGGTCTGTCAAGGCAAGCAAGGTATGCAGTGCATACCCTGGCTAAAACAAATTAAAAAAATATAGTAGTACAGTTTCTCCGTTTTATTTAGCATTTCTTAGTTAGGATCTTCTATATACACCTTAATTTTTAGAGTGGAATGCTACAGTTCATTGGAATAGCAAAGCTTTTCATTGTTTGGCCTACTTTGGTACCTAGGATATTGTCACAGTCGGGCCTATCGCATCGTACTCTAGCTACTAAGAATTTCTTCATGGCTGGTCTTATCAGCCAATTACGTATTCAGTGAGTCAATGGAAGTCAGAGCATACCCTACAATGCTTAAATTTGCTATTGTGACAACCGTGTGGTGGCTTCAGAATAGAAAATTTTACTTTGGAATGGAAGCAGTGCTTCCAAGAGTATGTGCGCATGCTCTTCTTCTCACAAATCGGGACCTCCACTGCCAATCAGGTATTCTATCTATAAGCCTAATCTGAATGATTAAAGTTTAAATATATTTACATACATATGATCGGTGTAGAAGAAACTCTGAATTAATATTATTTGAATTGAAATTTGTTAAAATACAGGAATAAGAATTCCTTTAAAGAGAAGACAAATATGCCGGTATTAAAAATAACATACATTGTACTTTGACTATAGAACGCAATCTGATTCTGTATAAGTATTAGGCTTACGAACTTTTCCTATCAAGCAGGCCCTATCATCAGTGGTGTGGGGTTTTTGAATTGGAAGGGAGCTGATGGGGACAGGAGGGTAAAGTGGCGTGTCGGTGATTAGGTGAGGGGATAACTCGCAATATTATGGTGATATTAGGTGATTTTTAACTACTTGAGCATGATTTGTGGGCGGGAGACGCGACTGAGGAATGGGCGAGTATTTTTTTTCAGGGGCAAGGGGATTCGACGTGCGCGCCCCTTGCACATCCTAGATATGCCAATACCTAGCATACCCTGTAATTTACCATACGGTCGGCCACTGTCTAGGCCCAGCCTGATTATCAGTCTGTGAGTTACCAAGCACCTTTGGTTACCTTTGGCTCTCTACTATTGTTGTATTGTTGCTTTTATTTAATGCAGATTGATCATTGTTCTATTTTGATTGTGTGTGTGCTTTATTGATAGCTGTGTACCTGTTGCTATTGTTTTACCATGGTT